CGATTCTACATGAACTGCTCTCTCTACCGGTTCGTTGTCCTGTCCGATTTTCACCACCTTGATATTTAAGATGAAATAATAGTATTAAACCAACCCCTCCTCCCCTTTGTGGCTTCGCTTTCTTCGGCTATGGAGCTCATATTTTCTTAAAACACTTCGACAACGCTTTTTTCCTTAAAATCCACACTTTTCCGTATTTTAGCTACATACCCTAATCTTGCTGAGAAACGTTCTCAGCAAAATTCTAACTTTTCTCAACGCCTAAAAGACCCTGTAATTACAGTTTATTACAAGATAAACCTTATATGATTCGGCCAATTAGGCACGCCATCACGGTCAGCCAGAAACGTCAGAGATTTATTCCCCCATGCAAAAGTTGCATTGTCACTTACTATTATTGCAAAGAAAGCTTTCAGCACTTTATTTCTATTTCTTTTTGCAAAATTTAATTTTACAGAACGACTGATTTTTCTCAGTTTTAAATATTTTATTTTTATGGTACCGAGCTGTTAATTAACAGGAAGGATTTTGTGTTTTGTCGCTAATTCGAATTATTATAAACTTGTGCTTGGATTTGACTCATTTGTTTGAGCTCAAATTAAATTTTATGAGTTCTAATTGGCACATATATTGCATATTTGTTTAGGACAATAGAAACGTCAGAGATTTATTCCCCCATGCAAAAGTTCCATTGTCACTTACTATTATTGCAAAGAAAGCTTTCAGCACTTTATTTCAATTTTTTTTTTTTTTTTGGGACATTTAGATCATTTAAGACAAACTCACACACACAACGCATACACATAGACTCGAACTCTGAACCTCTTAGTTGGAAGCCTAAGCTCCCAACCAATAGGCCAAAGAGAGTTGTGTTCAATTTCTTTTTTGCAAAATTTAATTTTGCAGAACGACTGCTTTTTCTCAGTTTTTAAATATTTTATTTTAATGGTAGCAAGTTGTTAATTAACAGGAAGGATTTTGTTTTTTGTCGCTAATTGGAATTATTTTAAACTTGTGCTTGGATTTGACTCATTTGTTTGAGCTCGAATTAAATTCTATGAGTTTTAATTGGCGCATATATTGTGGATTTGTTTAGGACAATTTTCTGTCTTCTCATTATTTTCAAGAAACTTTTTAATCAAAAAATTGCTTTAAAAAGTAGTAAGAAAATGATTCAAAAATCCTAAAAATTTTGATGCTTTAAGAAAGTAGTAATACCCTTCATTTGGGACGACTTTCTTATTATTTCTTAAAGTAGCTTTCTAGAAAAAACCTCAAAAATTTTATACTAAAAAATTGCTTTAAGAAACAGTAAAAAAAACGTACGAAGTCTAATTTATAACTTTATTTCGAAAACGACCACACCTTATGGGAGCATATTAAAGAATTATCCACTAAATATTCATCAAAGTAGATGTATGAATACTATTACTATTTCATTATATAATAAATTACATATATTATATTAAATTTAAACCTTTAGTATTTTCATTTGAATACTTGCTATTAATGGCCTAAAAGTATTCTATATAATCTTTCTCAAGAATTGAATTTTTCATCAATCTTTTTTCATCTTCTTTAGTCTCTTCCAAATTCTATCTTTTAGTTTCTATATATATTAAGATTTTACTATATTTAAATGATTTTTTTTTTAATATGTACTCCATAAAAAATTAAGCATTGATACAAAAAAAATAGTTTGAGATGTCATTATGATAAAATAAATTTTCTGAAAGAAGTTGAATTTTTGAAAAAAATTTATCTTAGATTTTTTAGAACTATTAAATTAAGAAAATATCTTTTCTACCTGAAAAATTCCTTAATTTATAATCAAATATGGAATCAGTGTATAACATAAAATTCTAATTAGACAAGTTTTCATAATAAATTATATGATTTTACTGATAATTATATGCAATCTTCCCAACTGAACTCTTAAAAGTATAATACTATTGATCTTATTAAGTGAATTGTATTGAGAATTTTGTATAGTATTTCTATTATATGAATTATTGTATGGTAATTACTACTTCTCTCACCATTGCTTTGGCCCAAGGTCATAACTCGAGCTTAAGTCTTTTGTTATTTAGATGAACTAAGTTTGAATCGAGCTCGAGTTTGAGATCAAGCTGTCATTGGGTATGCGCGTCAAGTTCGAGATCGAGCCTTCCATTGAGCATTCTTGTCGAGCTCAAGCTCGAGCTAGCGGTGAATTGAGCTCAATTTGACTCATATACACTCATATATACAAATGAGCTTGAACTTAAGCTCAAACTATATTATTTAGCAAAATCTAAGCTCATGTATTTAAGAAAAAATTGAACCAGAATCTGACTTGTTTAGATCCCTACTCACCCTTCACATCCAATACAACTATAGGAGAGTATTATCATAACAATTGGCAACAAAATCCTCCCCTTTAATTAATAACATGGCACCATAAAAATAAAATATTTAAAAACTAAGAACAAGGAGTCCTTGTGCAAAAGTCCTTGTGCAAAATTAAATTTTGCAACAATGAAAGCCGGCCTTTTTTGCAATAATAGTATAGGTGAAAATGCAACCTTTGCATGTTGGAAAATTGAGGGGAAAAAATATTAGTTGTTTTTGGGAAAAAAATATTAGTTGTTTTTGACATAATTAGTTGGTCCATATAAAGTTTTGTAATATACTATAATTAGAGGGTCGTTTAAGCATAGAAGAAAGGCCTAATTAGTTGAAAATGTTTCTTGGCAAAAAGAAATCAATTGACTAAGGCTTCATTTGGAATGGTTTTCTTATTGCTTATTTTGTGCTATGTGATCATACTTTTCATAAAACTAGAGTTCTTGGGTTGGTGGGAGTTAGATGAGTGCACTTAGACTTTATGGACAATAATTTGAATTTTGATGTTCTTGAAAATGTGCAATTTTATTTTGATTTGAAGTGAATTTTTTAGAGTTATTGATGATAATGGTAGAAAAATTGATGTTTGGTACCATCCATTTGAGAAATTGATTTTTCTCTTGACAACTTGCTCCATCAATCTCTTTACATTTCAGTCCAAATCCATTTGAAAATGAAATCAACTTTGTGTAACGCAATCCTAACAACAATACAATTTTAGCGTGCTTTCTTATTGCTTCTTAAAGCAGCTTTTTAGAACTAGAAAGCTGCTTTAAGAAGCAATAAAAAAAACATCCCAAATGATGCATATATATATATATATATA